CTAAATATGAATAAATGCAATCAAATATTATGAAGTGTGTATGAAGCACAGAAGAAGAAAAATTCCTTTCACCTGGGACCTAGAGAAACTTCTTCAGAAAATGTAGCTTTGAAGATGGCCAAAGACATGGGTGGAAATTTGGCAGAACAGGACGTAAGGAATTAGAAACTAATTCTAAAATTCATATAAAAATGCAAAAAATACACAAATATCCAAAACAAATTTGAACAAGAAAAATTTTGAAGTCTTACTATCTGATTTTCAGACTTTTTAAAATAAAGCTACAGTAATCAGAAAGTAAGGTATTGTTGTAAAACAGGAAAATAGAATAATGGAACAGAATAGAATGTTCTGAACTAAACCAACACTTAGATGGACAATTGAATCTCAGTAAGGATGCAGTGGAGAAAGGATGTTTTCAACAAGTCGTGCTGAAACAATTAGATATCCATATGCAAAAAGAGAAAAATGAACTTTGACCCACACCTCACAAAATACAGAAAAATTAATTCAAAGTGGATCACAGATCTTAATAGGAAATCCAAAACTATAAAACAGCTAGGAAGAAAAGCATGGGCTTAAGCATTGTGACCTTGGGTTTGGCAAACATTTCTTTGCTATAACACCAAAAGTATAATCTATTTTAAAAAGTAACTGATATAGTGAACTCTATCAAAATGAAGACTCTTCAAAGCTCTTCAAAACACCGCTAAGCAAATGAAAAGACAAGCCATAGAGAGAAACTATTTGCGCCAGCTTACCCGCCCCCTGACCACACCGCGCCCGCCCCCCAGCAGCAGGCTCACCCTGAGACGGGCGTCCGGCTTCTCGGGCCGCGGAGGCCGCCCCCAGGCCACGCCGCGGGGAGGAGCGGAGCAAACTGCCGGCTCCCGGGCGGCGGGCCCCCTACCCACGTCGCCCCCGCACCCTAATTGCACTGCCCCGCTCCCCTCCTCAGCAAGCTGAGTGGGACAGGTGTGTCACGCGACCTGGGGCAGCAGAGGCCACTCCCAGGCCCGGCCCCCGGGGAGACGGGAGCTAACCCACCAGCTCGCCAGGGGCAGGGCTACCCCCCTCCTCTTCCGCTGCCTCTGCCGCCGCCACTGCGGCCGCCCCTGACCGAACCGCCCAGCCTCCCAGGAGCAAGCTCACCTGGAGTCCGAATTCCGGGGACTCGCCTGCGGCCAAGGCCGCCTCCAGGCCAAGCTGCGGGGAAGAGAAGGAAACAACAGGCTTGCCTGGGCAGCCCCCTCCCGCCGCCGCCACCCCAAACGCACCACACCCGCCCCCAGGGA